CCAGCCTTCTGGTTAGCAGTCAAGTGCCTTAGGCACTACGCTACCAGAGCTCCTTACCTAACAAGATGTCCCAAAAAAACAAAACAAAAAAACCTACATGTGGTTTAAGTACGGTTCGTCATAATAAGGATATGTAGCAAGTCTGGGACTACCCATCCATCTAAATACATTACATTTGTAAATATCATCACTGCGTTCTTTCAAACAGCCTGGTACTCGATAAAGAGTTGGTGTGTATCATGGATTGAATGGTGTCCTTCCTTCCAGAATATGTACCAACTTGGCAGGACCATGACCACCCCCTCCCCATGGTTTGGCAGTTATGTAATGATGTGGTCATCACTCATGATGTAACTGATGTGATCAGCCAATCAGTTGCCAGGGATTAGGGTGGGATGCAACACCCTTGCTCAGGTCGGAACCCTGATCCTATGTAAGGGAGTCTCCATGAAGCCTACATCCCATTCATCTTACAAGAGATAAGAGGAGGGAGAGCAGAGAGAGCGAGGTCGTGATACCACGAAGGAAGAAGAACCGGGAGCGGAGTGTGTCCTTTGGACCAGTGGGGCCCCTGGGCTGAGAACTCCTAGACCCAGGGCAAGATTGAAGCCAAAGCACCTGGAGATCTCTGAGGAACACTGGGCCCACAGACGCTGAAAGGAGACCAGGACCTTCTCCCAGAGCCAACAGAAGAGAGAGCCTTGCCCCGGAGCCAGTGCCCTGAGTTTGGGCTTCCAGCCTCCTAATCTGTGAGAAAATACATTTCTGTTTGTCAAAGCCACCCTCTTGTGGTATTTCTCTTACAGCACCACTAGAGAACAAAGGCAGTGTGATTCCAAGTTAGAAATGACAAATCACATCCACTCAGAGGGGGATCTATGTAGGACATCCTGGATAGAGAGGGAGAACAATGTGGAACACAACTCAAAAAATCATTTGGAGGAACAAAAAAGCGGGGCGGGGGGGAGGCTTTTTCTGACTCCCGCAGCTGAGGGGCTGAGGAGCTCAGGCAGTACACCGGCTGTTGACTCCAACAAATGACGAATCCAAGATCTCCAGGCCCAATGGTGGGTTGTTGGCTCGCAGACAGCCATGGGCAGGTGTGCTGGTCCGATAGAGCCTGGTGGAACCACTGACACTATGGCCCCTAGCTGCCCCTCAGGTCTGGAACTGAACCTACACCTATGGCTTCCAGCCAAACAAAAGACAGGCATATGAGTTGAGCATTTGCCTGGGGTAGATACACTCCTTGGAGAGAACAATCATGGGGGAAAGAAGGGCTGTGTGTGCACAGGGAGACCAGCTCAGGGGGCAGGAGTGCATGGAGGGATAGACACAGGGAAGAGGTAACTATGGGGAGGAAGTGGGAAGGGAGCTGTTGCATTGTGGGAAATTGTAGTCAATGTCGTGAGACAAAGTGAACTGCTGAATGGAAAGTGAATTTGCTCTGTAAACTTTCACCCTAGTCACAATTTAAGATAAATAAATACAAGGAAATTTTTTTAAAAAGTGACAAATTGATTATACATTTCAATCTGTATAGGAACAAAGCTGTTCCTGTAACATGGAAAATTCTCTTAAACAAGCGAGCACCTTAAATACCAAACATGCCAAGATTCTGCTTCAGACAAAAGATGTCTAGCCCCCGAGAAGCCTCACCACCCTCAGAAGAAAGTCGCAGCCTCCCCACCCAGCACTCACGGTCTTTCGGAATCGGGCCCGTCGTCCCCTTCCACCTGATCCCCCCTCACTCACCCACACAGTGGCCTCCCAGGTCTTTCACCTCCCTGAGTGTGGTGCTAAAGGGGCCCTTAAGGCAGAAACCCAGTGGAGGAGTCGAGGACATTTTTTGAAGGAGATGAAAACTCACCTGGAAGTTAGGAGAAGTAAGAACCTCTGGGTTCTAGAGGCAGAAATGCGGAAAAAGAAAAAAGAAAAAACACGATGCATAATAAAATTCACTTTTTATTGGGCACTCACGATGTCGCAGGCACTGGTCTATGTGTTTCACGTGTTCGGAACCTTGGACGCTTCCAACAACATCCGCCACCTTACAAGGAAAGGATGATCATATCCGTATTTTACAGGTGAAAGGAACCACAGCTCGTGGGGGGAAGGGCTGGGATTCCAACTCATCTTCTTCCAGGCTCGTAACTTCTCCTCGGTAGGAAGAAATCAAGGCTATGGAGTAAGCAGGGAGGGAGAAATGCTTACAAGGAATTTCCCTGCATTCTCTCCTTGATGGGGTAAGACTACTCCATGTCTTCATGCACCCTCAGTGATGGAAGAGTGGAGCCGGGGGTTAAACCAGGGAAATTTGTATTCTCTTGTCACTGCCTTTAACAAGCATGTAGAATCAAATATAGGCCCGTGGGAAGGGAAGGCAAGATTCTGTTGGAGATACTCTGGAGCCAGCCAGTGGGGTTGGAGGTCAACATTTGAATGTCTCATGGCAGCGTCTCCTGCCGTTAATGGTTTTTTGGATCCAGTTGAAATATCTGCAGACATCGGTGTAGACTCCTGGCTTCTTCTTTGACCCACAGGGAATGTTGCCCCATGACACAAGGCCTCTCAGACGGTCCCCACACACCAGGGGACCCCCAGAATCACCCTGTGAAGAAAAGGGAGAGCGTCACAAAAGGAGACAGAGAGGTAGTTAAGGTTATGTGTCAACTTGGCTGGGCCTGGTTGAGTGACTGGGCAGCTGGATGTAGTATTCCCCATGATGAGACTGGTCATCACTCCATGGTGGAATCTACTGGGAGCAGCTGAGTAGCTGCCTTAGGGATGTGGTCTGCTTCCCGTATATAAGCAGAAGGCTTGGGAATGTGGGAAAGGTCTCTAGCCTATGGCACGCTTGAACCCTACACGTAGCTGTGTCGTTGTTCAGTAGCCTGCTGATCCTAGGACTTTCATTAGACTTGAATTAATGGCCTGCCATGTGGTTTGGTAACATCGGAACTGTGCCTTTTTACTTGTTGACCTTGGGCTTGTCAGCCTCAGCAGCCAGCAGCTGCCTGAGTGAAGAAAGCCTCCAGCTCCAGTGGGCCGGGAGCAAGAGGCAGAGCTGAAGCCCAAGGTCGAGGGGCTTTCACCCAGCCCCTAGAGCCTGGCACTGTGAACTCGGACTTCTAGCCTCCAAAACTGTGGTATTTTCTGCTAGAGCAGCACTAGAGAACCAAAACAGAGACATACACATGCACACACAGACAAAGAGAGATTGAGACGTGCAGGGATGGAGGGGAAGATGTAGGGACAGAGAGAGATAGACAGACAAGCAGTGAGACACACAGTCACAGGACAAGAGGGAGAAAGGCTGAAAGAGACACATGGAGAAACAGAGACAGGAACAACAAGACCCAGACAGGCACAGAAAACAAGAGAAAGGAGCAGAGTAAAAGTTAAGGATGGAGACCTACAGGCGGTGAGAAACAAGGGTGCAGAGAGAGAAGGAGGGAGAGAGAGAGGAAGAAAGGGGGAGAGACAGAGGGGAAGGGGAGGGGAGGGGAGAGAAGGGAAGGGAAGGGAGAACAGATATATCCGTAGACACTGGCAATACCTGCAATTCTGAGCAAGACAGAGGAAGATACCAGAAGAGCAATGAATGACACAAGACCCAGGAGAAGGGAGGCAGGAAAGAGCAGGGTGGGAAGATGTGCACTCTCGCAGGGAACCGCCCCATGTCCTAGCCTCAAGCCAGCCTCAGAAAACAGGCTGGTAGGTCTGTTGTTGCCCTGCATGCCTTTCAATGGGCTGGAACCCATTCTGAGAGACCTAGTGGACCATGACGGAGGAAACTGAAGTTACAGGCTTCCCTCTCTCCAACGAGGGCTTCCCTCCCAAGCTTGGCTGTTTCCAGAAAGAATTCGTGGGAACCTTTTTGAGAAAAGAAATCCCTGGGGTTGTACTGGCTGCAAACTGAAAGGTTGGAGATTTGAGTCCATAGGGAGGTGTCTCAGAAGGAACAGCTAGTGATCCATTTTTGAAGTCAGCCATTGAAAACTCAGTGGAGACCAGCTCTCCCTTGACACACATGGGGTCACCGTGAGTCAGGATCGAGTAGCAGGCAACTGGTCGTTTAAGAAGAGTGGTCGCCTCGCCCCGTCTGCCTGGTTCTTTGTCTGTCTTCCTCCATCTTTGTCTCTGCATCTTGTCTCCAACGGCTGTATCTTTCTATCTCTGCCTGTTTCTGGGTTTTCTCATGTGTCTCTGTGTGTTGTGATTTGAGTTATGTCTTCCTTCTCCTCTGATTTTATCTCAGCCTGGCTCTGTAAAACTGTTTTCATCTGGGCCTCTCTCCCTCTTTACATCCCTGGCTAAATTTTCGTATCTCTGCATAGTGCCTAAGGCACTGCTAACCAGAAGGCTGGCGGTTCAAACCCACCAGCCACTCCTC